CAAACTGCTGCTGAACATGAACTTTACTGTACAAATCTTCAAATAATTGTCATACTACTCATTATTGTTCAATGATCGATTTTAGTTTACATAATACAATTTAAAATCAACATTTTTATTTGTAATAAAGTGTTAGGATACTGTGTACAGTAGTGTAATAGTGTGTCAAATGGGGTTGCGAGATCCGTTTTAATACATTCAGTGCCTAATTAATATTCATGAATAAATTAGTGAACCTGTATAGAAAGGCCACCTGTCTATAAAGGCCAAAATTTCAAAGTCCCTTGGGTGGCCGCTATAGACAGGTTTGACTGTAGTATAATTACTCTCAAATATGTCATACTAGTGGTGGCAGGGATCTCGCCAGCCCAACGTTAGTGCCGGTCGATCATGAATAATAATAAGCTATATGAATATTAATTAGCAATGAATATTACTGAGTTCGGTCGCAGTGCAAATATTTTTGGAATTAGGACATTAAGTTTCACAATTTAGAAGAGTTTGAATTTAAAAATGAAATATATTCGAAATGCGAATGCTGCAGACTAAAAACAGAAACAAATAAATTATTGTTGCAATATTAATGTCTATTGTAAAAAGTTAAATAAAACGTATTTGAAACATTTCAGCCAGGAATATGTTTACGATCTTATTTACTCCAAAAACATTCTCCTTCAAAAAATCGATTGACGTATTGTTGTAATTTATTGTTCGTACCATCAACTTCTAAAACCTATATATTCACAGTAATGAACGAACAAATAAAACTTCCAAACTTTTAAAGTTATGACGTGACTTAACTTACTTTGCAATGTTATGAGCTGATTATACCAATAATTCCTCTTACTCAGTCATGATGCCATGCAAAAAATGTTACTTCTTTTTTTTTTGATATGAAATAAAAGTAAAATTTGACTTAGTTTTATTGAGAGTGGTAATTTTTGATCACTCGATCGCTTCGGTAAAATACACAGACCCACCATGATGTTTGTGACGTATTCGTTGACCGGCATGTGTATTTTGATCCGATGGGTCAAGAATGCCATTAACCAATCAAAATGCTGCATGGTAATGCCGGTAGAATCCGAAGTTTTCCGAAAGGTAGTGATCATAAAAATTACATTGCGGAAGTAAAGCGATGTCGTAGCACGATGTGTTGGCATCGATTTCAGTTGAAAACAGTATAATGGTTTTCGAAACAGGTGAATAGCAATTTTTGACTCCCGTGTGCGAAGCACAAAAG